TATGTCTACCTTTAAAGATAAACTTGCAAGAACGACGGAACGCGGACGACGTCGTGGTTAACAGCTTAACCTTATAAAGGGAGTTTAAAAAACCAAAATTAATATCTAAAATAATTGTTCTACGCGTATGAAGTCACTGACCCAGCTTGCTTATTTATAACGCTCGGTTAGTACTCGTATTGTCGGTCTCCGGAGTTACTACAACAGGTAAAAATCCCAAAAAAAATGTTTTAGTGCGATGATCATATGATGGTAATTAAACAATAATCCTACCATTATTACATTCCAAATATAAGCTTGTAGCGTTAGTTATCTAACAAATGGTTTCAAAATTTACTTTCCTATTTTCGGAAATGTTATTCGAAAGCGTTCAACGAATATGAAACAGTCACTGCGATAATTATTTTCACGATACAATCAGATGAACACAATGTCCATGTATGTATTTATATCAGTTGTATTAATACAGAGAAATTCAGTTGCAGTACATAATCGGATAATATTTGTAAGTTATTTTCGATTAAAGCGCAACGGGTGTGGTGAAATATTAACCTATCCGCATTATAGCAAAGTGAATTTTTGATAGTGGACATTGCATATTTCGCGCGTGGTCCAAGCGAGGACTAGGCCTCTGTGGCGTTCGCGATTTTATTAAAACAAGTCCTTAAACTCAATTGGTATTAGGGATTGGATTCCGGGAAACATAATATTTTTAGGATCTATCAAAATTGATCAGTCAAACGCCCATAAATATGTTTAGAGGAAGCCGGATTTTACTTATAAAGAACATAGATACTTGTTTAAAAGTTTGGGATCTATCTATACTAATATATAGAGCTGAAGAGTTTGTTTGTTTGTTTGAACGCGCTAATCTTAGGAACTACATTTTCGAATTGAAAAAATATTTTTTGTTGGTTAGAGCATTTAACGATGAAGGCTATAAAATATCGTAAATAACCCTGTCACTAATACAAGCGAAGATACAGCGAGAAATGTAAAAATTATTCATCAGTATGGGTTCCCGAGGCGTACGCTACAAAAACTGTTCAAGATACCCAAAAGATGTGTATGAAGGAATGATTCCTCTTTTAATGATTTAAAAAAGTCCGCGATGCCTTATGTTTATCTTTAAAGGTTAACTTAAGCAAGCACGACGGCAAAAGGACGCGACCGACATCGTGGGTCAAAATGAATTTGGATGCCCAAAATAACGATTCTCGCGGATGACGTCGCTGACACAGCTAGTATAGGATAAAATGTTACGGATAGGCGTGGCATTGTTAAACATTGATACCCTACTTCCCTACATGTAAAGACGCGATTAATCAAACAACTGAACTTTAACTATTTAAGTATTGTATATTTAAAATTTTGCTGTATTCATTGTTATATGACAAGAATTACTCAATTTAAATAAAATACAATTACTATTTGTCACGAAATAGCAAAGTATATTAGTTTTAACTGTGGCCGTTTCTACCCGTGATCACGGCTGCAAAGCACCCAAAACACAGACGTTGTAAACAAGATTAACTTATGTGTTTCACGTTTTAAACCGTTAAAGTGTTTTATTTAAAATTTTACTACTCGTGGAAACTTCACACGGTATTTAAGCGGAAGTCAGTATTTAACAAGTTTTCCCTCCTGAGTAAAAATTGAGTCAGTTGCCTGTTAGCACAATGCTTAAAAATTTATATATTTTCATTGTAAATACTAAAAATAAAGTCAACTTCGTGTGTAAATAGGTAAACGGCGTTTCTCTCCGCGCAAGCGCATGCCTCGCGCCGTACGCCAAACGATGGCTTATAGAGCACCCCCAGCGGACCCGTTTAGCTCGCCCGATGACGTTTATGGCGGCACCGGACTGCACAGAAAATAAATATGATATACCACGCTCGCCGGAGGTTTTAACAAATAAAACTGCACTGGCTGTTTGCGAAAAAACGCCACCGTCGCGCTATTTACACTGCCTTTATGCGCGGATATTTGAAAGGCGAAAATTGTAGTTTATTGGTATCCCGATACTGTGTGATTCAAGTATAACAAAATCAGCGAGGACATTGTTGGCCCAATGACGGCTAATAAACATCGAGTCGTGGGTCCAGTGTGTTCTTAATCAATGTATACTTACATAATTTTTCTGAAATACACATAAATGAGGATAACAAGCTATCGCGCTTCGGTTTCAGTCTGTGGATTTTACACAGCACATCTTTAAGAGATAATATATGGCTGGAGTATTCCACTTTCAATCAAGTAAATCTTCATCTGTTTTACAAAGTAAATTGTCGAAACAACATGATTTCTGCACTGAACTAATATGTTTACTAGGATTATAATATTATTTGCATATATTTCCTTTAACTATAAATTATATTTCTTTTTCTAAAATCAGGGGCATATTTGCAGTAAGTAACTTTACTGTTTAAACACAGGAAAGTGTTCCGAGCGAATCTCTTGTTTACTAACTATGATTTTGTTCAGATAACTTTTTCCGCGCTTAAGTCTCAACTATAACACGTACTTTGCAAAGTTTAATCAAGTTTTGTTTATGCAGTCTCCCGTAGACTCATTAGGCGGCGGCGATTAAGCTTTTTGCTTTGAAGTAGCCTTTTAATTACAACGCGTAATTACTTAGTACGTTTGTACGTTGCGAATTATTCGTTCACCTTGGACCGTTGCGGGAATATTCCGATTGTTTTCACTCAGGTAAAGACTAGGTATTTTACTTATCATATTTATGTATTTTCTGTATTTAGCTAATGGGTTTTACGTACGCCATCGAATGTGGAGACTGTAGGTAAATAACATTAAGAAAAAAAAGTAAACACTAAGGCTAATGTTCGAATAAGTTAAATGTCTACTATTTTTATGTATTTAGTTATATGTCTAATTAAAATAAGTCCCGTAGTTGTAAATTAAAGTTATTTTTATAGCTTTTTTTATCATTATTATTAAGTTAAAGTGAGATATTCCAACGCAATTGTCGAAAGAATTCTGTATTACATAAGTTATCCGATGTAAATTGTCACTATGTTAATATTAAATTTTGTGGTCGTCTTATCTCCTTTAGAGTGCTATAAAATTCATAGAAGCGCACCCATGGCGGCCGTATATCGGCGATGTATTTTGAGAGACACTACTATTTCTAGACTATTTTAAAACTAGCGTTGTGAGGGCAATCAGTATTTTGTATGTATGTCTATATTCATTACCAGTTGCCGTTTATTTATACAATTGTTTGTTCATCATGTTCTTTTTTCTTTTATCTTATAGCCTAAAGCATTTCTCGATAAATGGTCCAACGAACACGAAAATATTTTTTTAATCGAACCAGTAGTTCCTGAGATATGCGCGTTTACACAAATACACTCGTTAACTTTGTAATCATAGTATAGATTTTATTAGAAAAACACATTTTATCCAACTGTTTATCAAATATTGCTATTAAACATAAATCAAAATACTTACGTAGGGCCTTGTGCTAAGTAAATGTATTTTTTATAGTTTGAATACGATTATTTTTGTTAAAATATTTTTATGTGATTCATTGATCGATTACGCCTATCATTGAGCCATGACGGTAGAATAGATTTACCATTAATCTTACGTAAGACAATGCCTTTAAACTTCGAAAGACTGCAATAGGTACACAAACGAGCGAAATTCGTGACTCCGCGTTCTAGCCACACACTCATGCAATATTGATACAGCTCCAGCCAACGAGCAATTTCTATTTAAAACTAGTCGAAGACAGCTTGAAAAGAGGAATTCCCATTCATGAACCTCATATTCTAAGTGCCGTTTTGCAAAACATTTGGTTTATTTTGCGCTGCACTGCACCGAGACCGATATTGGGCTACTAAATTTTTGCAAGCTCGTCCATGTTATAGAAGCAATGTGTATTCGATCCCACCACCATGTTTCTAAGCAAAATATTATATTTCTAAAACATGTTGGAATTTGTCTGGAAATCTGGATATTATGTTCTGGGGTTAGGAATGGTGGAATCCCATCCTTATCTGTATTTCTCTATCATAAAAAATATACCCACGTTTTACGTTTGAATATTGATTAAAATTGCAATAACATGTGAAAAATATTAAAGTTTTAAAAAGTTATGTTTATATTTGTACTATCACTGTCTTATCAGTATCAATATTTAAGCAGGATTTAATTTAAATAGAAAAGCTGTGGATCGGAAGAAAACAAAATGTGTTTAATTATTCATTCCTGCAGTGAAACACTAGCAATGTTGTGCAAAAAGAATAGAGCAATAATTATTTAAAATTATATTTTTCATTATCTTTGTTCTAAATTATATTATAATTATACACGGTTTTCTTCACTTTAACAGGCTCCTTTAACAGTAGGGACGGATAGTATGGGCATTTAGCACGTATAATCTTCGACACGTTCTTACGTATATTGCAGTTTAAAGGAAAATCACGACCACCAGTAGATAATAAATATTGTTAAAGTTAAACCAGCGTTGATCTATTTAAGACGGCGACCGTCAACAATAATTGTCTCCGGTCCCAAGAGCTGTACAAATGTTGACTCGACAGTAATTAAACCGGTATTGCTTGAAAAATACAGCTGAGCTTTATTTTTACTATGCGAGATTATATTACGTCTATGTAACTTAGAAAGAGGTGTAAGTACAAATTAAAACAACAAATTCACCATATTTGTACGATTTGGACGAGTTGGACTAATTAGGTTTTATTTCCAATCTTACTTCTTAAAATACTTAGTAGGTACTATTTTACATGCACTGGAACAATTTATTCTTATAATTTATGCCTATGATTACAATAGAAATTTTTCGAAATCCGGTTTTCACACTTCCACCGGTTGTACCTCTAACTAAAAAAATAATTTCGTAATTACTTATTTTTGCATGTACCTTTGTAATTCACACATTGTATATGGATATAGTCTTAGCTAAAATAATACGAGGAAAATCTATACAAATCATTAAATCTAATACGGGTGTCTTAAGTTATAGATTCCTTATGTTCTAGCAAATTTTCAATAACTTCATTCGGCACTATTGTATGTACGACTTCATTTGAGTCTTGCGGTTTTTCTATCAATACCAATCTAACATTCAAATTGGGCAACTGGCTAGCGGGTTCTATCACAGGAACTCGTTTTACATAACTCCCTTCTATACATTGCAAAGTCTTGTTCTTAGTTTCTGGTACATACCACCAAACCCAAAACAAACACAAACTTAACATCAGAGTGTACAAAAGAAAGGTGCCGTATAATTTCAAATACAGGACGAGGTACGGCGCTATTTTAAGAGTGAAGCTGTAGGAAGCACAAATAATTATGACCATTAGAGAACCGCCGATACCTCTATAACGGACCGGAATTATTTCTGCGGACATGACGTACGGCGTGGTGTAGATACCCAAACTGGATGCTATCATGAAACCGACTAGGAAGTAGAGGCATAACAATGAATCCTCGCGCACCACCTCGAGGTATTGCAAATATGAAACGATGGATGATGCCAGCAGGAATACTGCACTACCAATGCCGCTACATAAAAGTATGGGTTTGTTATTATAACGCTTGAAGAACACGTACGCAACGCTGTTGCCTAGCAACGTGACACAGTCCATCACGATCATGCCTATAAATGCCGAATTCTCATCCTTAGTGACGTTCTCAATCATGTTCATAGCATACACCAGGAACACTAAATTTCCACTGCAGTAATAGACAGATAGTAGAACGAACATGTACAAACTTGGCAAGTAAAAGTCCTTACTGGTGATTGATGTCCAAAACTCTCTTGCCACCTCTTTGAACTTCTTTGGCTTCTCCTTGACGTGTGATGTGTATGAGTTTAGGATCTCGTTCATTTCTGAAATGGCATCATCGTCAGTTCCCCGGAGCCATAGAAAAGATTTCTTGCATTCTTCGAGTCTCCCTTTGAGCGCTAACCAAGCGGGTGACTCTGGCCAAGTACAACTTAGCAGGAACGCAACAACGACAGGTACCATCATAATGGCACTGATCATTTTCCAATGCAGAAATCTGCCCAGAGCGTGGACCAGAGTCACTCCTAATGTTTGGTTAATACTATAAAACAGCATAAGAATGTTCCTATACTTTGGATGCACCATTTCACTAATAGTCAGGTAGCTAACGACTAGAAGACTTTTCGCGCCGAGACCTTGAAAGGATTCCCCGACGATAATAGTAGCTGCAGTCCTGGCGAAGTAGATTATTGTCCAACCAAGGATGACGAGTAGGCAACACGTGTGGAAGCCAAATTTCCTGCCTCGATGCTGCATTATGTAGGGTATAAAAAGACTTGGGATTCCAGCCAAACCATGTATGGATGCTGTGGATTTAAAAAATATTAAGCTATTAGACAATAGGTATTGTTTCCGATCCACGTTTTGCGCAAAATTCGAGCAATGTTGCTAGCGAAATAATATATAATTTGGTTGTCTAAATAATATAAAGGAAATTATAAAATTCTGCAGGTTACATTTATCAAAAGTATAATTCTAGGATGAATAAATAACTGCTGTTCGATGTTTTATGCTTAACTTAAAGCAAACTATCTTTAGAACTCTCTTTGAAAGTTTGCAAACTTCCGTAGGTTTTTTTCAACCTTTTAAATTACTTTTAAAACTATGGCTTGCTTCGTTTTAAATATCTTTTATTCAACTAGACGATGTTTATATTGATAATAAGCAAAACATGTTAGGTTTAAATGAGCAGAACAATTTTAGAAGTTACATATTTTTATTTTCTTATCTCCTTACTTCTTGTATTTTTCAAACTTAGCTCTAACGATTAAATAACTAGCATAATTAAGGAGCAGTGAGTTATCAAAGTAATGAAGTGTCGTTACCAATCCATGACGCACTATGTACATCCACGTGTATCGAGCTCTCGTTGCTTTTGAACTGCTGGAGAAGGACACTTGGAAAACCGATCAGACCTCCAGCTGATATCGCTGCCAGCTGCGGAGATGCAGCAACAAACAGCTGTGGGATAATAATAATTACTTAAAGTTTACGCTTTTAAAGTTATATTCAGTAGATTTAACATCTATAAAGATAAAAAAATACGACGCGGGCCTTGAACCAGCATCTACATCGTTCCGTGCTGTTGCTCTAACCAATTTTTTTCAAAAAAGTTGTCAATACTATTTTAATTTATATAAAGCCACCGTGTGCTTTAACTTATATAGAAATACATTTATGTCCTCGGTGAGATCGTAAATTCGACTCCTGGTCGTGGCAATAATAATTTATCAAGATTTAGCCAAAAATTAAAGGAGCAAGGTTACAAAATAAAAGAATTTATATTTATATCAACACATCGTATAGGCGACATAAAAACAATTCCAACGAGTCTGTATAAGATATAATATGAGATAATATATCAGATTGAGTATACATAACGCCTTCATTGAATGCTTGATCAAGATTATGAAGGTCATCGGTATAAGTCTATTTATACATAAATTATGCAGCCACAATTATGCTTCTTTTATTACAAATAATTTAGACAAACCTGTGTGTGTGTGTTTCTCAGCTAATTTAATAATTAAATCATTAAATTAGCTCTATACAAATAGCTGTGTTTTACACAGTTAGCTTATGTTTTGCTACAGCTTGACGTTTTGAGTACTTGGTATATTACTAAGAATTAAATCAATTGTTATACTTCGCGATATTCATTTTAGCGTTGTCTACTTTCAGATATGATGAATGAGTGATAACAAATTAGAACTATCTAGTATGTGGAATAAACAACTTAAATTTTTCTTTTCTGCTTTATGACAGAGGAGGATAGTCAAGGCCATGGGTTCACCTAATGGAAGGCACTTTGGCTTTTAAATAATGCTGTTATTGATAAATGTATTTTTTTTTTTTTTTTACAGGAGGATAGTCAAGGCCATGGGTTACTAATGGAAGGATTGCTTTTATAATGCTGTTATTGATAAATGTATTCTTCTTCTTCTATCTTATAGCTTTGGCGATCGTTTCTAGGTTAAAAGTTTAAATAAAGCTCATAATGTCTCTAATATATAAAATATTTATCTCTAAATTTTTGGAAGTTTGTGTGTACGTTAGATACATTTCGACGATAATTATTAATTTTCTAAATGGGCTCGGTTCCAATATTTACGAGTAAACTCCTACGCCCAAAGAAGTGAATTTAACAAGTTTCAGATTTAACTGTTGCCAAAATTGTGTTTCAGTTGAGAATCATAATTCGTACGTACATTCGTTGTACTTCTTGAATATAGTGTTTGTAATGAGTAAATAAATGTTTAATAATTCCAGTGATAATTAAAGTAAATAACTTGCGGGTAGCTTAAAATTATGCAGGAATTTTTAAACCTCTAAGCGTTGTGAAACCAAATCGAAGTGTCGTTAAAAACTGTCGTAAAATGAAATCCAATTATATTAATCGCACTTGTTTTAATTTCTAGAAACTGGGGAGAGGCTTATCAACAACATTATCAAAATATATACACTTGCCATGTATTTTGATAATGCTAACTTATTTAATGTAAATGTGATTGAATTATTACAGCATTAGAAAATGTAACGTACACGTTTTTCTACAGAGTTCATCGCTCTTAGGTACTAAAACGATCTAAAAATAAATTACCAAAGCAAGGTAGGAAGGGATAAAATTATTTTTAGCTCACCTGTTTTAGGATCGGAGACATAGCCTTTATTTCACTGGAATTACATCAAATCCCACAATGTACCGGTACTATCAACAAAATAGCATAACGTCACAAATCCGTATGACATTTGTCAATAAACAGTAGTCGTCCACTCGGTATCGCAATGTAAGGAAACAACACAAGTTCTGAAACACAAATCGCTTCAAGCGATTATGTGTCTTATTGCATTTTAATTATGGGTGACACTCACACGTGATATAATAATTACTAGCTTCAAGGCATCGGAAAAAAACGTCCGAACCATAAAAGGTTGTACTAAAAACTAACGTTCAGCGAATTATTAATAGTTTACAAGTCTCAAAATACGTGTAGAATTAGACGCGAGTCGAGTTATGTTCGGATTCATCTGTCTTTAAAATTGAGATTATAAATAAATTGAAGACAGTGATTAATGAAATCCATTTAATACAAAGTGTAAACTCGAAAACATATTGTAAATTGACCTACGTGAATTTTAAATACTGTCTGTAGTTTACGCGAGTTGTGCACATTTCAATAAAACTCTTTAACGGTTTAAAACGCGATGTATATTAGTTAAACTTTGAAAAATTATATTCCAGCTCCCTGTGCTGGAAAGCGTCCGAAACGTCGGGCCGAAGTTCAAATAAGTTTAGCTAATATATATCGCCTTTTAAACCGTTAAAGTGTTTTATTTAAACTATGTTAATTTTGTCAAGTGTGGGTTTCTGAGAAATGTATTTTTTTTTGAACATGTTGGACTTCGTCTGAAAATCTGTTCCAGTCTGTCTATCTCCTTAAAAATTGACGAAGTTGTTGATAAGTTAGTGAGTGTGTGGGATTATTACATTTATATAGTAACACTAGCTGTGTCAGCGACTTCGTCCGCGTAGAATTGTAATTCTGGCCATCCAAATTTGTTTTTGCAAACCTTATTTTCATCTTTATAAATTTAAGCTGTTACCCGCAATGTCGTTCTTGCAAGTTAATCTTATAAGGTATATAGTGTCGCGGATCTTTTTTTTTGTCATTTAAACAGGAATATTTTTTTCAGACATATTTTTTAGGTATCTTGAACCGCTTTCGCAGCATATGCATCGGAAATGCACAGAGATAAATAATGTTCCCCATTTTTTTCACATTTCCCGCTGTTTCTTCGCCCCTATTAGTAACAACGCAATGTTTTATAACCTTTCTCGATAAATATTTTAACTAATACAAAAATAATATTTTAATTTGAATCAGTAGTTCCCGAGATTAGCACATTCAAACAAACAAACTCTTCAGCTTTGTATATTAGTAGAGATAGAAGCGTATTTATTATACTTACGGAAACGTATACAAACGTATGAATTGAACTCTGTACTATTTTAAGTTGAGTAATATGAATTTTTAGCATGTATGTCTATTAATCTACAAGTCTGAAACAAATGTGGCTGTGTGTCCTCTTATGAAAGTTAATACAGTTAAAATAAAAACTCAAAAGGAACTGTACTTCCGGTTTTGCAATTATTATCGTCTTATGGCGGCTACCTCTATTATACTGTGTTGTAGGAATACGACATTGACAACTTTTGTCTTCCAACCCCTATACCAGTATTTTCTGAGAAAGGCGCCTACAGACAAAAAATCATAATATAAATATCTAACAGTTAGACCTTCAATCCAATACACGGCCTATGGGTGTCATTGAGCGATACGAGGAAAATGGCGGGATCTGTAGATCCTCTAGTTATGTTTCCCTCGCGTACCGTGGACTAAAAGTCTATTCACGAAAAAGGTCAGGCTTTGTTTTAAAATTTGATTGTTATTTTATAATGTTTGAATGCTATCCTTTGATTTCGAACTCTGGATCATTGCAAAGTTCACGTGGAAAGGTTTATTTAAAACTAGCTGTGTCAGCAACGTCGTCCGTTTAGAATAATTTCATTGGGCGTCAAAATTTGTCTTTGCAAACCCCCTCTTCATCTTTATAGATTTAAGCTTTACCCACGACGTCGCGTCGGTCGCGTCATATTTTTGCAAATTAATCTTAAAATATATATAATATAAATAGATATACATATTCTGTTGCGAACGATTCTTTAGATAATTTCAATCATTACAAATACAAATATTCTTTATTGTCACAAAACAAAACAACAAAAAAATATATATAATTGATGGTAAGTACAAAGGGCGACTTTATAGCTAAATAGCTATCTCTTCCATGCAACCGTGGTAGAAATGATAATTCAGTAATAAAAAAGAAATGCGTGACAGCCGAAAAAGGACTTAACCTACTTACTAAAACTTATAATACAAAATAAGCTTAATCTAAAAATCATTTATTACTATCTTAACTAAGTTACTTAATTAGGCATAAATAGTGGGACTTGACCAGATTCTTGAAGGAAGCGAGATTCTGGGCTTTTCTTATATTAGAAGGTAAATAGTTCCAAAGTTTTATAGCTCTCACATGAAAGTATGAATTATAGAATCTAGTTGAGTGAGAAGGAAAACGTAAAGTCAGGCTTTCGTCTGACCGGAGATTAAGGCCTTTGTCGGAGAGGAACTCAAGTTTTTCTTACAGGTAAGTTGGAGTCTTAGGATCGAAGAGTACTTAGAAAAGAAGAGAAAGAACATGTAGATTCCTGCGTAAACGAATAGGGAGCCAGTTGAGGGCGGAGCGAAATTTAGAAACGTGGTCAAGTTAATGAAGGCCAAACACAAATAAAATTGCCATGTTTTGTAGTCGTTCATTCGCAGAGTATACAGCTGAAACACAAAAAGATGAACAATTTTCCCCGTTTTCTCCACATTTCCCGCTATTTTTTTTACTTCTATTAGTTGCAGCGCGATTTTTATAACCTTTCTCGATAAATGCCCTAACCAACATAAATTCTTTTTATCGGTATTTTAAATTGTGTTTTTTACAATTCTTTTGATTATTGGATCATTATCGCGATATATCGGTGCGGCGTCTCAGGATATGTGAAACTCCACTGTAACCGAAACGCCAATAATCTTCACTGCTTTTTCATATTTGGATGGGGATTCTTGACTCGTACATAATTCAAATATTCCTACCACCCTTTTAATATTTCGTTGTCATGGGTGGGAATCGCACCAACGACCCCGGTCAATAACCAATTATTGACCGACGAGTCGCTTAAGTTAGATGATAAATAGAATAAAAATAATGAAAACCACGGAAAATTAATAGAACGTGCCAGCGCATTCATCTCTCTGAGGAATCCGGCCCATCTACGTAGTTTTAAGTCTATGGTTCAGAGCGGGACGAACTTCGTAAGTCGTCTAAGAAATAGCACACACAGGTATTTACACTAAATCCACACAGCTCCCTATTGTCTCTACACGTCGTATTTTATCCCGGATGCAATTTCCGTCCGTTTGTTTAGAGTTTGATTGTTTAGGATTGTTTGTATTGTCTATAGTTTTCCGCTAGTTTCTGTGTGTCTGTGAATAGTTTGATTTAAAAATAAGCAGTAGCGACATCTATTGGCAACGGGCGGAGCTATAGTATTTAATGAAAGGTACACTTGCTGTCTTCGATTTATATATAATTCAAGTAAATATATGACATTGTTTACATTAAAAATGCAGTTTGGCTTAATGAAACACTATTGACACATGATGGCAAATTGAAATATATAGGACGACATACAAGTATGGGGTCTATTCAAGATGGTAGGTGAAATATAGCTAGGCACATAAGATACGCTGTCGAATTATTTTAACTTTATATATTCGGATAGGCGCAGAATACAATCGCTGCTCTTATATTTATGGGTTGAGACCTGGACCTTATAATTATTCATTATTGAACTGGGTGTAGATGCTATCTTCAGCTATCTTCTGAGCTTAAGAATATCAGTGGAGATAAATTATAATATCACATTTGGCCAGACTTCCGTAACTTTTTCAATTATAAAGACAAGTGTTGTGTCTCCTTCAGTCCAATTGCTAAAAAGCGCGTTAATTTTTCTTTCGTAAATGAATATTAAGTTTTGTTTCCGTAAACTGTCATAAAAGCAATTAATAGATCATTTATTCTATTATATTCCGGGAAAATAACTATGGAGTAATTTATCGTCGCGAATAAGATGGCCACCTACATGGTACAACATTATATAGTATCTTTCGTATCTTGAAATAAGATATTTCCTAATTATTCCCACTGAACTACATTAATGAGTTACAATATACAAAAATACTAAATCGTATTGGTTTATTTTTTTTTAATACTTTAAATAATTATGAATTTGATAGTAGAAAATATTGGTCTGAAACCGACTTTCAGTAAATCCTTAGAGAGCGAACGAGAATTATTTCAAAATATACCACAAGCAAAATGTCTAAAATATTATTCTATTTCATAAAAAAATATATATATATATATTTCTTTATGTTTACCTGAGGGCCACACCATATTTTACCCTTGCCATGTTCACAAATGAGATGGCGATTCATATTTATTTTCTGAGTGAAACAATTATTATTTTTCATTACTCAAGAGCTTCAGTTACGACTTGTATTGTGATCTTTAAGTTTACACGAATGCTAAATTATTCTGCTATTATTTTCGTGTTGGCCATTGTTAGTACAAGAAAATGCTTCAAGTAGTTGAATGGAGTGTATTTCTATTCATAGTTTTTCAGAGTAAACAGATAGAAATGGCTGCGTACCGAATAAATTGTAATATTCCTACGAACATTTTAGTCATTTTTATTCTTTATTTATAGATAAAGAAGTCACAATTGACGTGGCGTCTTCATTTATTTGCTATATCTAAGACCAGATTAAAAAGTATATGAGAAATAAATACAGTATTTTAAGTAATACATTTTGAATTAAATAATTATTACGATTATACCAATACTGTATACTTAAGATAAATAGAGACAATAATATGTAAGCCATCGTAACCATCTGATAACAGAATTTAGTTTTTATCAATAAATAAATAAATTTATCAGTATACAAGAATAATTATGTATATAAAATAAGCAGATGAACAG